GAGTATGGATATTGTGCTTCGTTGCTGAGTTCCCTAGGCCTGAAAAGAACCCGCTTCTTTTCTACAAAATGCTCATGAGGTTTACTTACCCAGCTCCGAATTGAGGCAATATGACAAGCTATGGTATCATTTCCTGTTTCAGTCACGTACTGTATAATGAGAATTACAAAGCTCATCCCATAATGACCCCACAGACTCTACGATCCGAGGGACCCAATCAAACAGACGCTGCATCCGAAGCCCCTTGCCATAGTACACCTTTTCAGCTGGAGTTTCTCTGAACACAAGAGTACTGCCACAGACCCGCGGCACACATACACATTCCATGAGGATTGATATCAGTCCCCTTTAACATCAAGGAACAATTTTGACCCCACTACCTTTTTAAACAGCTTTCCAGGAGCTCTAGTGGGGTACACAGGCAGCAACACCCGAGTACATGACCCAAACCGAGGAAAAACTTAACCCCTAAGTCTTACACCCTACACCCTAAACCCCGTACTAAAAACCCTAAGCCCATAAACCCACATGGTGGCAGGGGACCTGCCCCTCGCCAAAAATCTCGGCCCAGTTTTCCCCGGCGAGGAGCCGTTTCGCCTCCTTTTTTCTTTCAGGAGAGTAGCTGTAGAAGTTCAATGGTTTAAGGTTTGGGTTTAGAGCTTCATACTTCGAATTGGGGTTAATTAAATGAAATTACTACAGTTACATAACAGTTATTATTAGGGAATCATGTTGATTAGTTCTCGGGGTGCCTCTAGTGTGGGTGCTGTTAGGTGGTGCTTGCAGCTCGGGATTCAGGTCGTCTGTGTTTCGGCTACCCCTCCTTAATCCCAGCCCCTAAATCCAACACCTCAAGGAGATTGACGGACCCAAGTCCCCGCCAGTGGCAGTGGTTTTAAAGGTTTTTGGTTTAGGGGACTTTTTGCCTTACAAGCTGTTGGCGCTCTCTTTGAAAATCGTTGAGGCTTCATGAACCCTAAACCAAATATGCATCATTGATACCATCGAATCGGTTCAAGTATACAGAAGCTATCAAATGGTAAGCAGAAACAGATGACAACGAGCCTGGAAGCAAACAAGAGTTAGGGGTTGAGGGTTCAGGTTTTAAGGGGTGGTGCAATGTCTTAGGTCGCTCGCCAACTTAGGACTTGATGGCCAAAAGAAATCCATGTGCCCACTTCCCTGAGAGCCCAGTACCCCTGAGGTGAGGAATATACGGCAAAAAAACACTAGGAATGGTTTAAGGCATGTTTTTAAAGAACCTAGGGCAAATAGAACGTGGGTTGATTTAAGGCCTATTGCTACGTAAATAATACCAAGATCGATTGAAGGAACATTGCTGAATCAAGCGGTGTTGGGCTACCTGGGTTGGTGGTCAGTGGCCTTACACCCATAACATTACATAAGGACTAGGCAGGTTCAGGTTCTAGGGATTAATATTAGAGCTTCAGGGTCATTGCGTATTTCCTGCATAAAACTCGGGTATCAGAGTTAGAATGTTTGCATCTATCATGACGATCCTAAAACGTCATAGGAGCTACAGTCAATGTTTCCCACCTAATTGAATGGACATGGGTTCCTTGTAAGGGACCACAGTAGGGACTATCGAAAACTACAAGACAGACTCCATGTTCACTTCTCAGGGTCCCTTAATAAGCCTTAAATGTACAGTAACTCATATGATGATCACTGGGTCCTTTTTATAGTGGTTGAAGTTACCAACATCTTGATGGACCCAGACGCCCAACACAGCCATCCGTGTGTGAGTAGAGTTTCGTTTGTGAGTGAGCGAAGTCAGGCTGTGCTCTTAATTACCATGTATCGCTATAATCCTACTTGCGCCCTAAGCCCTAAACCCTGTCCTCTTCTAAGTGCTAACCATGCGCCTCCGTCGACCACAGCAGCACTGAGGGTTTGCCATGTGCTGTAGATACCAGAAGCTTGGAGTCCTTAGGATTTCTCCACAGGGCCACGTTGTGGTGGAATGACCTCCTTAAAAGGGGATCCGAACCAAACAGGGAACCTACACTATGGCCAATTGGGGACAGGTATTTTGAACAACTACCAGACATGTCCATGTTCAGGGTTTAGGGTTTAGGGTTTGGGGTTTAAAGCTAAGCATCCTTAGAAAATCTTTTAAGCACAACAGACAGGGACGGATGCTTTGGGGCCACCATTTCTGCATGGCAGCATGGTTGTAACCCAGTTACACTTGTGAATATGTCCTACCTATTTGCATTCTACCGCACTCAGGGGCTTCTGATAGGGTTAGAACTTCAAGTATGAGTAGGTTACAATGACCATGAGTTTTCCAAGCAGGCCCCATCCACCTCAGTAGTGAGCACAAAGGAGACTGCTACATTATACCCTGATATCATACCGCCACTACGGGGAGAGAGCCTAACACGAGATGCAAGTATTGTAGTGATGCTGGGCCCAAGAATACCAAACTGCCTTCCCAATATCGTCATGCCTACAACATAAATGCTAAACCTGAGAGGTGCGCAGACTACAGTAAGACTCATGCTGTTGGTAGTCTACTGTGGTTGGAGGGTATGCTGCCGCACCCCAAGTTAGCCGTAAGGTTGCGGATCCCACGTGGCGCAAGATTTCCTAAACCCTAAACCCTAAACGTTAAACCCGAAACAGTAGTTTCCATGTTCTTTTCCATCATCCCTATATTATACCCCCCCACAGAGAAAGTAGCTCATGTCCGGGGCATAGGGCAGGCCAAGAATCAGGGCCTCATGTGAGCTACAGTTATCGTGTCCTTATGTAGTCAATGGGCATGGTTCCTCATCAATTAGGGAATCTGTTAATCTTGTGCTGAGTGCTTGGGGGTTAAGACCCTTTCATTTAATACTGGACATGGATTCCTATTGGGCCATCGGGGGATATACTAGGGACTGAACTAAACTATTAGCGGTCCTTTGGGAACTCCACTATTGACGGTGTGTGAAGGGACATGTTTGTGCAGAGTGGAGTTGTGTATGGGCGGCCGTAAGTCGTGGCTCATGCAGAGCTCAGTTTTTTTCAATGATGTCCATCTGTAGTTATACACTCTACATGCGTAGACCGGCAGTCAGCATGATCCTACACTTTCTTTTGTTGCGGGTAAAAAGGGGTGCGCCTGCAAACACAGGTTAAGAGCCTTGACGCTCACCCCTTGCCATGGCCTCAAATGAACTTCCTGCTGGGAACCTCACTGCAGAGTTGGAAGATCTAGAGAATGACCGAGCCTCCCCTGGAACGGAAGCTGCTAGCGGATCTGAGAATCCAAATCCCTTTTGGAGCGATCGCGCTGTAGAGGAGTTTCGGATTAGACAGGCCCGGCCACTGGGACTTGCCGAGTATGACGAGGAGCAGAGGGAACCAGAGTATTTTGGGTCTGAGAATGGTCGTAGTGCTGGTTTTGCCTCGGCTACAGGTCTGAGTGTGCGAGCATCGAGCCCTGTTCCAGCTAGGGGAAGTGAGACATCCTCGGACTCTAGACGATCCAACGCAGTCTCGAACGCTCCTTCCTTGACATCTCGGTCCAGGTCTCCTACCCGTGAGGAGATACCGGCCCTTAGGGACCTTTTGGCGTCACTTGGAAATGCGGTGGCAGGACTGGCAGAGGAACAACGGCAAACGCGGCAGAGGCTCTCAGTTGTCGAGGAGATAAGGTCTGGGAGCACTTTGTCGATGAGGACAGGCAGGGAAGGCGGTGAGCTGGACAGCGGGAATACTGCCTTAGGGGAGCTTGGTGGGGGTCCACAAATGTTCCAGATTGGGGATACGGATGTAGAGGCACCAGGCGACGTATTTCTGGCAGGATTGACCTTGGAGGATTGGGAACAACCATCGTTGAGGCTTGAAGATATTCCCCAAGAAACGACGTGTTCAGGACCTGTAGGGGTACCAGAGGTATATGCCCCTACCTGCCCCACAGGTACATTGCCTTCGGCCCAGGTTCGAGGTCTCGAGGCAAATGTAGATGCATTGCCTTCGGCCCAGGTTCGAGGTCTAGAGGCACATCTAGGTGCATTGCCTTCGGCCCAGGTTCGAGGTCTTGAGGCACATCTAGGTGCATTGCCTT